AAAATAGGAATATGAAGCATGCTCGCACAATTGAATTTGATTAGACAGATTTACTAGCTACATGTATGTTGTAACAAAGTATTGTACATGTCATAATTATATTTTCACAGTAAAATTCTAATAAATAAAGAACAAAAATCATACTTATAATAAACAAATATATTTACATACCTGCATAAAGTCCTAAAACAATAAAGAAAATAGCATACTTTCAGAGTTTGACAATAAAATACATCCATGAAGAACTACTTCTTCCATTCTGTTGTCATGTCAGAAATAATTCAGCTTCAATATTTTTAAGGACTAGAAAATATTGAACCAAACACCGCCAAAAAGTGTGAGAAATTACAGTGTAGTATTGTTGTAATATTGTATCAATCTTTTTGCAGCCATAAGAACCTTTACACATACATAACCATATCAAATTGTGATTCAGGTGAAACTTACTTTTTTAGTTGCTAAGTTAGGATCCTGTTCCAAGAGACACATGATCTGTGCCCTATTTCCTTTAGCTGCTGATACAAGCCACTCTTTCTCTAGAGGTTCCAGCTACAAAATATTAAGTCCAAAGAATCACTATCAACTAAATTCCAGATATGAAAAATAAATCAGGTATCGAGAAAGTACCTGTTTGTGAAATACAAAAATTGCAGTAATACTCAAACAACTAAGACTCAGCAGTGTACATTGATACATGTATTAAGTTTCTTGTGGTAGTGGGTGGATCAGAGGGCAGAATAAGCCATTTACAGCAATTATTTCAGGCTTTGCATTATTCTTTACATTGATTCCCAATCATTTCTCTCATGTATCTTTTGATCCCTCTCTTTGCTCATCTCCACAAACTGCTGAGATCCTGAAACAGGCTACAAGGCTTATACTCATCAGAGTATAACTTGCTACAACATACATGTAATAAGTGCAATGAAACCTTACATGTGCTGTTGGTCCTCCCATTAAAAAGTCATCCCCTATTAGATACAAAAAGACATTATAATTATGCAAAATATTTAGAGTGCCACCTTAACAACATCATACTTCATGCAAATAGCTCAAAATAAATATTTTTCAATATGCACAAATAGTGTACCCTTTGAACCCCCAGGAATGACCAAAACAAACAATATACTTCCAACATCAATGCAATTCCAAGCGCAAGGAATATGTGATACAAAAAATATCACCTTGAGGATAACGTTTCATTTGACACCAAATCCTCAGGTTTACCCAACATGGAGAATTAAAAAACCCTTTGTCACCTAAATCTGCAGAGAGGTAAGGTTATTTAATAAAATACTGATCAACAAAACAATCTCACCAGAATTTTTAATAAATGTTACAAAAAATTGTTTTATTTTTCCCTTTTGAGAAGAGAAAGGAGTGATGGAAATTGAATGCATCAGACAGTAAGACTACACTGTAGGTCACAGAAGCCCATTTTCATTATTCCATAACTGCATTTGGTGCCAGAATTCCGTGTCCTGACACTCATATACTCATTATCTACTATAAGTGATAGCCACCAGCAAAATTAATATATACACATGAAATACACATAAAAACTAAAATTTGAAATTTGTTGATTATTTCCCACAATTCTTTCTATTTTTATCTACTCGTAGACTTAAAGGGGAGCTGAACAGCAAGCAAAGAGTGCTCATTGAGAAGTTCTTGTTCTATAAATTATAAAAATGAATGGCCACTCTAATAACGGCAGTTGATTGTCTATAAATGTATTTCACAGCTGGGAAAAATGATTTCACATAAGAAAACTGGGTCATCTTCACACGGCTGCCAACACATTTTACATTTTTCTATGTTATCACTGACTCTAATTCAGTAATCTTTATAATTCACATGAAGTAAACAGTCCAGAAATAATCATGCTTGCTCACCAAACAAATAATCAAGAGAGAGTTCAAAGCATTAAAATTCAAAATTACAAGAAATTCTACATCTAAATTGAAGTTTCTGTGCAGATTAGCAGCAAGAAATAAATATATTTGGGCAAATACCCAAGAAAGGGGGAAATCTGAGATAGATTTGACATTTTTATGAAAAGTTTTCATAGGAAAAAGTCTTATTTCAGAGTTAATATATAAATATTAACCACTCACTAGTTTTTCTCCTCAAATGTTTGGCCATGTGAAGGAACCACCATAACTAACAGATTTAAAGCCTTTAAATTCAACAATTGCTTTTGATCTCAATACAGCACATGTGCCTAGGGTCCCACTGTGATTTATTGCAGTAGTAAATGCATTCAAATCTTTTAACGAAACCTCAAAACCCTTGTTGTGAGCCTCAATCCATTTGTAGCAGCAGTCATAGCAGGTGCCAAGAATACATGATCAATTATTGAAACAGGAAAGAAATCAATATACCCAGTTTATGAAACACTTCCATTAGCATAATTAGAAATTGAAAATTTTGCAATTCATTGACTCATGAAATTTGCCACACAAAAAAAAAAATATGACTGGGTTCATTAAACTTAGAAGGAGTACAAAATATATCAAAATTCTGTAAAGCTGTGGTGGTATTGCAGTACCTAAAAGACAGGATCAAACATGCCACAAAATCCATTTCAAATAAAAAATTAACAGAATTCAAAGTCTGTGGATCTAAACTTCATGATCTAGTGACAGAGAAGCTTCTTGCGAAGATTACCGGTAACATTACATATTTTCATTGTAATAATCAACTGCCTGAACTTAAGTGTAAAATAAATACACAACATCTTCATGAAGGATTTTTAGATATTTAATGAACAATTCAAAATTAATATTCACTAACACAAAATATCAGTTTAAAGAGGGTAATGACCCCACAAAAAATACAGATGACTCTTTCATGTATACCACATTTGCATGTACTGTTATGGTACTAATAATGTATTTATCCTTCTTTGATTAAAAATGTCAAAATAGACAAATAATCTAATTTAGCAGAGCTATTAATATCTTTCATTTATTTTCTCGAATTTGTTGGTCTCAACATGTCACCACTAGAAAGTTGAGTTTTTGTCAATATAACTTCTTTGGTTTGAATTTTTTTTCATGTTTTTTTCCTTTGTTTATATACTTTGTAGGTTGGTTAGTTTGTTGGCTTGTTCATTTGTTTTAATTTTTTGCTCAGGAATACAGCTTAAGTTGAACATGTAGTCTGATTGTCTCAGTGAAAGGAGTCCTGGAAGGATTGTAGTCAGTAGCAGGGACATTTTGACAGCCCAGTTAGCAGTCTTCATCAGAGAAAAGTACCATACTTATTGTCTTGACAAAACTTAAAATTCAACACCAGCTCCAAGAAACATGAAGATTATAGACATGTACACCTCAGGGAGTGCTTAACAAAGTAGCTAGAATCAACAATCTTTTTTTATAAATAATACACTGTGTGACACTAACCTTCTGCGTCATCATCCATTCGATCCTAAGGAAAAGATGATTTTATATATCAAATTCATCATAAGGTTGTGTATTATGATATACTTCATTTAGTTGTTGTGGTTCAAATTAATCCTTTGTTCAAAATCATTCTATACCACTTTGATCTATTGTTTTATTTGTGAAGTGCTCACTGTGACAATCATGACTGAAGACAACAAAAAACTGCTTTTACAAATGTATAACACTTGAAGGAAATATTTGAACCACAACAGAGTCAACTCACATGCAGTGTTCTCAGGCAGTAATCGGTAACATTTACCACCTGTGATACCTCTCATTACCATTTAAAATTGCTTGGAATTCTTGAAAATTCAACAGGTAAAAGGACAGCTTTACTGGTTTGAAAATTTATTTTACCTGTCATGCTGAAAATAAGGGAGAACACTGCACATGTACATAATTATGCATGCACAAGTATTCACATGAAAAAATTTTAGGACTTATTTTATAAGTACATAAAGATGGCTTCAAAGAAAGAATTGGAGGCACAGGAAATAAGTCTGAAACACCCTCAGCATGACTCATAGCACTCCTGGAACACGACCTCTCATAACAATTTTGGCAAGATGTGAAAAGCCCTTAATAAAGTGCAGAGTACAATTAGGGATGTTAAGAAAGAAAAACTCTTTTTGTATTGTTTTTTCATTGATTTCTCAACAAAAATGGTAGAATTTGTCCTTGAAAAAAAAAATTATTTGTTAACATTTATTGTTCTGCAAATACATTGGAGATTATTTTTTAGCAAGGATTTGTAGTCAACAAATATCAGTTTACCATTGTTATAATTGTTATTACATCATATCCATAATTTTATTGTTTGGCAAAAATTCTTGGAAATTGCTTTCAAACTACTACACCTTCATAGTTATGCTGCCTATCACAATTTCTGTAAATTACTTACTAAAGCTTTGTTTCATCAACTACATGTAAAAGTATACATACATGTAAGCAGGGTTTTCTTTAAGGTTTAGAAAAATATATTATTTCTCTGTTCAAATATATTTCTCAAGTAGCCTTCGATGAAACAATAAATAAATGTCAGTAGCTGTCAGAGTTTTCTGAAAAGTGTACTGTTGTGGGCCCTTTAGCCCTTCTTCTGCAGGAGGGTGTGGGAGCATGCTCACCCAGAAAATGTTTGAAAATAGGATGCTGGAAAATGCATTTCCTAGCACTTTAGGCTGTCAAACTTTGTCATTAGTAGGATGAATTAAGCTGCAATTATACAGTCAAAATCTTTAAATTTTGAAATCCAATTTGGTAGCTGGTGAAGCCTTGCAGAGAAGCATGAAAACTTTGCTGGCTTCCAGCTCTTGACTAAAACCATGTGTAAAATTATTAAGTAACTGGTACACTGTAAATGTAAATTTTCAATTACTCTGTGACAACTACCGTTAAACCCAGATCAACAACCTAATGTATGCCCTGTACATATATATATAGTGATCTGATAGAATTTGGTACTTACCAGATCATCATTGCTTCGTGACAATCTTTCTGGCTGAACATTAGTAGTGGATCCACTCCCACCATTTAGAAACTGATTTTGCAGCATTTTGAAAGTTGACGTAGATACACTTCCCACTGAGCCTCCCTAAAAACAAGTATTACATACATGTAATTCAGTATTCACAATTTTAGTTTCCAGTCTTTGAAATGATAATATAATGGCTAATAATATTATGATAACAATAATAATTTGTATAGTGCAAATTAAATAAATGTATGATGCATATAGTATATTGAAACAATAAATAAACAGGCACATTTTAGAAAATTAATGGACACAACAAATTCCACCTTAACACTTGTTTAAACTCTGAACTCCTCACTGGAGAATTGACTGCAATCTCCATAGCCTCAGTTTCCTTTTACAACCATGTGATGTATTAAAACATTTAATCATACAATTAAATGTATAAAATTTTAATTAATACAATTTGACCCAAATAATTCACAAAAGAGAACCATTTAAAAAAAAAATATGATTGGACTCACATTGGACTCCAGACCACTGTCCACAGATTCTGCGCCCACCAAATGCCCTATACCATCTGTTCCCTCTCTTTTCTCTAGAGGTCTGTTTTCTTTATTTGGATGACTAAGGGCTGGCAATTCATCCTCTGTTGTTGACTGTCTTCTAGGGTTTGATTGTGCCCCTGAGCCTAATGGCACTTCTTCCAGCTTTGCTCCTCGGAATACAGGGGGACCAGATACAGGTCGTGCCTTAGCTGGCCTAGGTGGTTTACGGAGCACTGCAGGAGCTTCCTTAGGCTTCTTGAGTACAAAGTACTTTTCTCCCTGTTATTGTGCAGAGAAAAAAAGGATAATCTTTGTCAAGCATTTTACAAAATTTTGACTTAATCTTAAAGAATCTAATCAAACAGGATGATGCCTGCAAATTCAAAATTAATAAATGTTTAGAGGAATAATGTTATTTCAACTTTATCAAACAAATTGATTTCAGTGCAGGGTTTGTTTCCAAAAAATAATTCTTAAATAAATTATATCCAATTCACCAAAGAAACAGGTCTGGAGAATGAATCATTAATGGTTAAATTATCTCATTTCCTAAATCAAACATTATGTCTCCCAGGTGAAGCTGTAATCATAAACTATTATTACTATTATTATTAATTTAAGAATAATAAAAGCTCTGTGTCATTTTACTATAGGCCTGATAAGCTCAGGGTATTGTGGAAAGGTGTGTACATATAGCTGTTTACCAAATAACAATGTATTAAAACCAACTCTTAGGATGTCGTCAGAGATGTGAATACCTTCTCTATGGGGCAAAGTTTTACCTTCCAACTGCCAGTGTTATTTACATCTTCATTTACAGACCACTCAAACTTCTCCTCTAGATAGACTCAGTTACTCAGCCCTATATCTGCTTTTGATTAGTTTCACTATCACCTAATTGTACATGTTGCAGTTAGACTAAATGGACTAAATAGGTTCGATTATTCTTCATTTTGCTCTGTTTAGACATGTATTATCCCCGATGAAAACACAAATAGTACTGATTTGAACTTGTTTTGACTTGAAATCGTATTAACCAACATCGAAATGACAACTAGCAAGAGTAATAATTGTTAAAAGCTAATGGCAAAACAAACTACATATAAGCAATAAACGAGAACTGAAAGTTTCAACATCATTAAATGGTATAATTTCTGTATTTAATTCCCATTGCCAGTTCTTAAAATGCCTCTGATATTGAAGTACTCTTAAAAATGGTTTCCATAATTTAGCAAAAGTGGTTTCAGCGAGTATGTTAACTAACTGAGTCGATATGGGCCTTTATATGAAGCCCAAAAATAATAGTTTACATTTATCACGAATAAAATAACGATTACAAAGTAAAGAAAGCTTTAATAGCTCGAATTAGCTCCAATGTTAACAATATGCGACAATAAAATTGAAGACACTTTCTAATTACTTAGGTAATGAAACTAGTAATGCAAATTTAGGATTAAAATTTTAATTCTCCCTTGAATTGTTCGAAGAAATAAATACACCGATCAATCTTTACATTAACGGGTAACATAATTATTCACAAATACGCCGCAGTCAACAACTTCGATTCCGTACTTACATCTATAGTTTGTACCGTCGCGATAGTATGCACAATTTCCTTAAATTCACCTCGCACTTTACCTGAAAGAAGGTATCAGTTTCAGTTATAATGAGACATACATAACGAAAAAATATATATTCCGTCGAATCGAAACGGAAAACAACAAATTATTCGACTCACTTTTGTTTGCTGAATCGTTCAGCTGTTGTCGAAAATGATGGACTAAATCTGTGTTTTTCACTTTTCCGTCGTTCTTAACTAAAAAATCCCGCACCGAGGCGAGAGATATTACTTCGTTAGTGGACATGGTTAAATTGTTCGAAGCAAGGAAAGATTATTTCGCGAGTGTCATTATAAATACCGATGAATGCCAGATATCTATAATATTTTCCGCCATCATAACTTTTGCATGCCGAAGGGTATACTGGGATCTCACGATTCTCCTTGTTGCCTCGCGCGTTTACTCGCGCGATACATTCGATCTTGAGAAGCTTGGCGTACCTTTTCGGAGGGGATGGTTGTTCTTTTCCGAGTTCCAGAGTTCCAAACATCAAAGGGGGGAAGATCTTTTCACACTAACGCACACTGGACAAGAGAATCCTTGTGCGAGAAGGGTACTACACGGTTGACGCTTTTCTCCCACCTATTTTCCCGTACCAAGCGGTAAATCATGATCACGATTTAAGTGGAAGATCTACACCATCATCATTCCCTTAGCTTCCTTTATTGCAGCCCAACTATGGCATGTATTTTTAACTGATAAGGGGAGTGCATGGCCTTGAGTTCGAAATAGCACTAAGACTGTTAGAATTCGGAAACTCGAACCTTGCTTTATTGGAGCTTTTTGATAAAACACATTTTCCTCGGTCTATAAAGTACATAGCGATATCTTTAAGTACTTCTTTATGAACAACTCACGTGAACCTGAGTTCAGTTCCTTTCAGACGTATCGAGCTCAGATAACAAATGTTGACCGAAAGGCCCTCTTGGCGCCTTTTCGAGAAAATTCGGTTTGTGACGCAGTTACTGTATCACGCTCAAGTCTTTTCAGTGAATCAACCCTTCTATAAATCTCCTTGATTACGGTTCATGTTGAGTAATATGCAAGATGTTTCGTGTAAGATATTCTCGATCAATAAAGAGGAATTTTTATATCTCGGAGACGGTAAGAATACTGATCAATACGATTGCATTCGCCTTCAGAGGTTAACACAATATTCAACTTATTTGACATAAATGCAAAAAAGAAAAAATCTCCCCAAAACGTGACCGCAGACGCCTGATTTGGGATCGATGCCCAAGATAACCTACGTGTCCAAATCTAAGACAAAACTTGTACGTGGATCAGCTCAACTGAAAACAGATGTCTAAAGGCTCGCACGTTTGGAAATAAACTTAACCAAAAGTTCTTCCTAGTGCCAAAGGGTCAAATGATAAATGCAATAACTAAACCGCGAACAGGAACCTTATTATATTTCGGTAGAAGGGGGCAGTAGCCTGGACAAACTACTACGTGATGTTTCGCATGAAAGTCTGATTTAGCTGAAACTTTTCTGCAAGCAAGCTTTCGCTTTTCCCGTCCAAAAATACCAAACGTGGCGAAAATGAACAAATCACAGGAATAACAAAATTTTTACTCGATCTTTTTCCCTTTGATTTCCGCCAAAATTTAAACACTTCACGATTTCGGTTCCGAGCAGAGAGTCGGAAACCATTTCGGAAAGGTGCGCGTGAATCGATAGTCTGTCGGCTGAACTCGCCCATCAACGGAATTTATTTTCGTGAGCCCGTGGGTGGTTCTATCTATAGAACAGCTGATCCAAATGCGTAAAAAATGTAACTCACGCTATCTTGAAGGCAGACGCCAGGAAATGTTTAAGATATAATTTATAACCTGACAGCTGGAATTTTTACCTCTTTCAATCACCGCATACATTCATGAGTTGGCGATCTCAACTCAAGGGGTACACTTTTGGCCGGGCTGAGAATTTGCGCTGCGAGGCAAACAAATTGTTGCATCATCGTTGCACGATACACGATCGTAACATGATCAGTGCAATTTTATTCGGGATTGCGGAATAAGTCAGCAGAAACACTTTGCTTCAGGATCTTTTTTTTTTTCTTTTTTGTTTTTGTTTCGTTTTTTCATTGAAATACTCAGGGAAAATAAGATCTTATAACTTGAAATCAGGCATTAGATCGAATCAAAATGAATGAAGACACAAAAAAGTGAGTGATAACTGGATCCTCTCGCTAAAAATAAATCGGAAACTAAGCCTGAATGGTATGAAAACGAAACAAACACAAGGTGACTAATGACACGAGGCTAGGACAGAAAAAGTCTTTGTGCCATCTGTGATTCATTTTGCCTCCATCATTAAGTCAGGAATCTCGATTTTTTTTCCTTTTTTTTTAACAAATTACTCATGCAGTTAACCTTTTATTCCTCATGCCCGAACGATGCCAAACGATTAATCTTTCAATGATTATTAGCTCTCGGCCAGGCGTATGCACGCGTGATGGATGGCATGAGTATGGACTGGAGGGCACGCACAACCAAGAGGAACATCGGAAAACGCGCCAGTGTACTCACATCATGGGCGATCAAACCAAGCGTCAACCTGTAAAGTCGAAAAAAGAAAACAAAATTAAGTCAGTCGGTGCAATAGTTTATTAGGTTGGCTAAATGTTGGCTTGTTTTCCTTACACTAAGATCGAAGTTTTATAACGTATGATAATGAAGTTTTAATGAAAGTATAGAACTCAAAACTGGCCTAAAAGGCATTTAAGGTAATCGAATTTATCATGAATGCACACCTATAATTCTGTATCATTATTTTTTTCCGTTCAAATATCATAAATTTAAACCGCTTAACAAGTGACGCGAGGGTTTCGTTTCAGCGCGTTTTTAAGAGATTGTCTTTTTGTACTGTGTACTGAGATGTAAATCCTCATGACAAACCTTTTCCAATTTTAGATTAGTATTTTCAAAACACAAATTTCTCCACATTTAAATCCTTATAATTAACGTTTTACTGGTAATTCAATTCTGACTGCAGTGAATTCAAAAACGATAACAACAAGAAGTATCAATATCGTAGTATCATGTTACAAAGTTAACACACTTAGAGAAAATGGAAATTAGATTTCAAAGAAACGAAGCCTTAAAGTTCCACTCAACCTACATTTTGTTACTGGTTACGTAACGTGACTTTCGTTATTGTTGTTATCGATAACAACATGAGGTATCAATATCTTAGAATCTTGTTACAAAGTTAACCCACTTAGAAAAAATGGAAATTAGATTTTAAAAAAACGAAGTCTTAAAGTTCCACTCAACCTGAATTTTGTTACTAGTTACGTAACGTGACTTTCGTTATTGCCTGACAGGATTATCTATCGATACCTTGACACACTCGGGACACGTATGCATGACAGATGTTTTGTTAACAAGGTAATTGGTGATCATCGTCACCCGGCGAGCTCCGAAAACCATATATCTTGGGCAAAAATTGTTTTTATCAATTCTTTACATCTAAAGTTTTTCTTCGCTCTCTTGGACAAGGACGGTATTTCATTAGTAATAGAACGTGGCGTCAGGAAGTCAGGTTAACGAGACCTTTAGTCAGCTGTGCATGTCGCAGGAGCTTTGATCTAAATCTGCTTTCTATTATTTAGATATTGATCTGAAATACGTAAATGTAAATCCTTTTTAAGTTCTATTTCAGTTATTTATGACACGCTCTTTGCCTCAACAGTCAAGGGATCTCCCACACGCTTCCTATTTTGTTTGTGGGGTCTGTGGACCATATTTAGGGTCCGGAGTCGACTAGTATATTTTTTGAAAACAGTAGATATCAAATTTAGCATAGGTCCTCAACAAAAACCTCCAAATATTGGAACCAGATCGTGTGTCTCAGAGGACGATAGTCACTTGCAAAAAAATTCATCAGGTTTGTTTAAGATCATGGCCACACAATTGGCTTTTTGCGTACTTTGAGTCTTTGGCGCAAAACTGGGGCCTACCTCGAAAAGCCCGTCAGCAAATTTAAGAAAGATGTTTACAGGAAGCTGGCCGGGACGTGGTTGTTTGTTGCTTATTTCGGAATTCAATGTCGTTTCCCGAGAGAAGTTGACCTAGGTTAATTACTCTTGAAAACCCTAAAAATATCAATAGGAGCTTGATTCAATTTTACTTTTTTTTTTTTTTTTTTTTTTTTTTTAAATTCATGTCTGATCCATATTATGAAGCAAAAACACCAAACGTGACAAAATCTCGTTTTTCTACCAAAAATTGAGTAAAACTTTGCTCTCATAGTAACCTTATTAGTTGTAAAATCAATCCTGGATTCCTGTAAATTTAGAAACTTGATCACCGTTTGTGTACCAAGTTTATTTTGAAATAAAGTTTATCGCATGAGGGTGTTGTCGTAACCAATCAGTCCAGAATTGCAAAACATTTCCCGGAGAGACTTCGGGCATTATTTTCAGTCATTAATGTGGTTTCGAAAATTTGTCCAATTTACTAAACACTTCGCGTGGAGAAGGCTCAGCTTCGGCATGTTTCGGGTCGGAAATTGCAATAATTTATCGAACACCGAACGTTACGACCGAAGAATTACCGAGGGCTCGGTATAGGAAGACTAAAATTCAAGGATTTCCGTATGCCGTGTTTTTGGGATTTTTAAAAACGTTTTAACAGTTATTAAAAACAATTTTTCCGTTTTCCGACCACGAGTTCCAATCAAGAGTAAAGTTGTCAACATAATCTGCTCTCTGGAATGAACTGTACATGACTGAAAATGATGTTTAAAAATAAACACACTATGCCTGACTTCACGGTCACAATTAAACCCAAAAAGCACTATTCGCCTCTCAAGTGATGGCCTCATGATAAGATTCTTAAAATTCTGCGAATAGCTGACAGATTCCGAGAGTTTGTAACTCATTACTCTTCAGCAATTTTAACCAGGATATTTCGAAATTAGCGTCAATTAACTGTAATTGACTTGGGCTGCTCCAAAGCTTAACCGCATTTACCTCTTACGGAGATTTCACAAGGGTGAAATGGTTGAAATAACATCGTTGGTTGTTTTCCATATATCGACTACATTCATACGTCACGCTTGAGGAAATAATCTTCAAAAACACAGACAGACGTAACTATAGAGATATGCCATTAGATCAGGCTGGAATTATGGAAATTTTTTCAAATTTTTACCAACTCGATCATGACTCATCGAATTGAGTGCGTTTCGAAAGCTTTAACAGCTCCATTATCTCTGTAGGTAGTTAAGATAAGGTCGCGCGTGTGTTAGACACCGGTCCTAAGTGGAGGGAGCGGCAGTATGAGGTAAATTTGTTATCACTTTGTTTTGTTTTGTTGTGTTTTTTTTTTCGCCTCCTTTGAAAGTATATATTGAATTGACATGTCAGTTTAGGTGGTTTAGATTGACAAGCCGTTACAAAAACAGTCTTGTCAGGTCCAAAACCGCTCCTACTTCCTGCAATGCATGAGGTCTACAAATTGTGGGCGCAGAAATGAAAAATAATCTCCTTCGTGTTATTCTAGAATGCCATGAAATTTTAACCCTATTGTCGTCACTATCTTCACGTCCTGTATATCTGGCGCAGTCGTCGCCGTATTTCCTACATAAAGGTAAACGCTCTGTTGATACAGCAGTTACAGTTAGTCAGGATTTACCAAGTTAAGGTTGCCCCCGTTGAGTAGTATTGCACGTGACGAAATTGTTGGCAGCTTATTTAAGAGGATTATCGCGCGGTCGAATAGGACAAGTGTTGTGTAATCAAGATCACAATATTCTAAACTCTTGCTTCGCCTGTTTGCTTATTCAAGGCGAGCTCAAGCCTATCCAGAGGAACAGAATAACGCTCCACGAACGTTACTGAGAATGAAGAAACAAGTTAAAGAAGAGAGAATAGCCGCAGTCAAGAAACGTAGTTCAACGTACTTGAAAAAATTCACCGTAGCAGTTTTCGGGGAAGCTAGGACAGGAAAATCATCCTTAATTCGGACCTTCCTTGGAGAGACATTTAAAAATGACTATGAACCGACCATAGAAGACTTTTACTCCAAGCAGATTGTCTACAACGACAAAAATTACCAAGTGGATATCATAGACACTTGTGGTACAGAGAATTTCCCGGCCATGCGGAAAGTGGATATCAACAAGGCAGACGCCATTTTGCTTGTGTATTCTCTGGACAATCCGCGCTCTTTTGAGCGGCTTCGTGAGCTAAGAGAGGAAGTCTTTCAAGAACGAGGCATTGGTTTGCCTGTTATGGTTGTAGCGAACAAATCAGACGTCGTCATAGATGGACATGCTTTAGAAATGAAAATGAATGATGGATCTTTGGTGAACACTAAATATGTCGCTGAGAAGGAATGGAACGTATTGTGGACGATAACTTCAGCCAAAATGGCGTGGGGTATCGAGGACATGGTCCATGGACTCATTGATGCATTCTACGCCCGAAGAGCACAAACATTGCCAACTAAAGGTAGCTCATGGTTAAAAAGGAGTCCTATACTTAACAGCTTACGGCGGAAATCCAAGTAAAATTTTGAAATGACTGCCGGTCTCACTTAGTATCTGCGAGTATGCTTTCAACAACTGTATGATATGAATTTACGTCGCTAAAATGTTTGTTTTCCTTGCGTGGAGCGTCGTTCACGATGCATGATATTTTTGTTTTTGGCTTCACGCTTTGCTGCATTCGTGGATGCACAGAATTTAAGCCATTTGTTGTTTTTTTAAATGCTTTCAAGACAAATCATTGTTGACTATCTAGAGTTTCAAATTACCTTGATTCGTTTGAAAATCTACTCGCTCTTTTCATAAAATGTCATAATCCTAATCAAGGCAGTTTTCAGAAGCATATTTCAAATAACAAGCTAAATACTATCTTAGCCATCTAAGTGTGTTAATCAGTTAACAATATTGAATCATCAATTTCTCAGAAGTTTATTTTCCCCGAAATTGATGCAAATGACTGAAAATAATATAATTTGAATGACAGTTGTTTATATGAATTATACTGAAATTAAAGATAAGCTTTTTATAGTGATGGACATTGTCCTCGTGGTATGTTTTTAGAGGTATTTTTGTTTAATCTGATATCAGAGGTTCCATGCTGAGACCCGCGCACGAGAGCATACTTTGCCCTACCGGTTGTTTTTATTCGGCCAATAGCTAGTTTCGCCAATTGGCCCTTACGAGTAACTAGCATCTCATCTGACAACATCGTTCCAGAGTTACTCATTAAGGTCACGAGGAACAAAGGGAAATGATCACCAACTGAAGAAGCTATTGATTGTAAAACGAACACTCACTGTCAGCACCTAAGGGGATTTATAGAGAATGGTATGGTGAATATGCACATTCAAAAAAAGCTTTCTGATGCCGTGATTTCATATCTTCTCTTAGCCCCATTTTCCGTCAAAGTTGAGCCTTGTAGTCGAGGGTCATTATAGCATTGCGCTAATCCATAGTGATAACGCACTGCATGACAGAGCGAGAAAATAACACGCGCAATTTGAGAACGCACGCGAAGGCGAGGGTCGCGTGCGTCGCTCCAGCTCCAAAGCCATAAGAGGGTTAGCCTAAATAAGCCTAGGCGTAATTTTGGCGAGCGAGTGCTCAATATTTTCTTAACGACAATTATGGCCGCCTTCTTTGATTTTAATGGCAGCGGTAGGCTGGGGAGAGCCTTCCCCCCCCTCCCCCTACTGCTACTGCCTCTATTTCCAAATCAAACATGGCTGGTTTAATGAACGACTGCGAGCTTCTTAAAGTTAACTCACCCCAATAAGACGCCTGCACTGCAGGCTAGAAGAGATCAAGAGGGTTCGACGGAGGTACTTCTTCTAACGTACATCAACTATGGATGGCTTTTCTCCTGGCTAGGGGTGACCAAGTCGAGAGGTCGCAGTTAAATTTACACAGAAAAAATGAAATACACTTAAAAAGGTGTGGAAAAGTGTCGATGGGAATAAGAAAGCCGCCGTCTCCTCGCGCGTTTCTCAGATCTCGAGGAACGAACACGACGCGCGAGAGACCACGAAAAGACAAAAGTAGCACCGTGCCCCCTCCGTGAAGGGCGTTTGTTTGCGGGACAGTACCCCCCAGGAGAGCTAGCTCGCAGGTCAATGTTTCCAGGGACTGTTGGGAAGTTGTAAAATTCCTAACATCTGATCTCGAGGGGAAAAAAAACCTTGCAGGGGTAGTCAGCCCACCGAAATTAAATCTGCGGACTAAACGATGGATCTAATACATTATAAGGACAGTTTTGATATTCACCAACTATTTTAACACAAGGAGATTGTTCCTGTCAGATCGTGTAGAAAATAGCATGTTCTAAGCGTTCAGTTGGTAAATGGAAGCGCCATAGCATGGGAAGCTGTTCGGTACCAGTATAGAGGAGTAAAAACCGAGGGAGAGAAAATTATACAATAAGAGAAAATTATACAATAAGAGTATCAGAAATTCTTAAAACCCCAACCCGCCCATTTCTGGAACGTTTTTAAAACCTTCGAAACCCGTCCCCCATCTGGAATTAAAAAAATTTCAGCTTTACCAGCCCCGTTAAGTTACCGGGACCTCCAAAAACGGGCTCCAAGGCCGGACGGCTTTTTCCAGACCGGCTCGCCTCAGCTTTCGGTATGGTTTTCTATGGTATTACAAGTGTGGGACTGGACAAGTAATTTGATAGTTACAATTATGTTATAAATGTGAAGTTTCAAAGCGCACGAAAAACCGCCAGCTAGCATCCTAAATGCCCTTGATTCTATTTTGGACTCTTTGCGGACCTCGGTTCTATTTTGGACTCTTTGCGGGCCCCGGTTCTCTTTTGGACTCTTCGCGGCCCTCGGTTATATTTTAGACTCTTTGTTTTGGACTTTTTGCGGCCCGCGGTTCTATTTTGGACTCTTTGCAGCCCTTGGTTCGATTTTGGACTCTTTTCGACCTTCGGTTCTATTTTGGACTCTTTGCGGCCCTCGATTCTATTTTGGACTTTTTGCGGCCCTCGGTTCTATTTTGGACTCATTTCTAACAACACCTTTCATTATTGTGCAATTGACATGCGTAATGGTCTCGAAATTTAGAAATGTTACCTATAAATCGTCAGGAAATAACTAAATAAAGACTTTTCAGTTTGTTTCAGTGTATTAAGTCTACTTCTAGCTTTTCTCTCAGCTTGGTAATACAAAAGAGCGCTACAACGCTCCCTCGAGGCAGCAGGAGATTGAAATAGCGCTTGAGCATTGGATATTATCGTGATTCATTCCGAACAAGATCCTCGAGGAGTTCGAGGAAAAAACTAAAGTTGCAGCTCAAACCTTCTCTTTGTAATATTCTCCTTTTCTCCTGTTCAGTTTATCTTCACTTATTCGAAATCGCAATATATCTTTGGTTAGGGCCTATCTGAGGTACAACAGAGGTTCAGTTTGCATTTCGTGGTAAAATTACGCGGAATTACATTTTTGAGGTAACTAACTGTAGACGAATAATTTTGATTTTCTCTCTGTTGGAGGAACAGCAGCACACTCTCTCTTAAACGGGAGATGGAGGGCGTTGTGTGACGAGACCAAACAACGTATTACCATATATTATCTGTGTTTGCTCAGATAAATTTGTTTTTTTTTTTTTTTTTGTCTTTCTGTGATACTTTCGTTTTTTGAAAGTTATGCTCTTTTTGGTGACAAAAATGAAAACATTAAGTACACAAACTGTCTCATCTCAACCCACCCAGTATTAAAAATAACTCTCGCATGCTGCGCGTGCCTATGTTTTGTACGCGTTGACGATTTCAGAGAGTTTATCGGTATATTATATATCATGGTTTGTGGTAATTTGGACATAAACTTACACTTCCCTCGTATAAACATTATCTTAATCCGTTTATGGTAAAACTGCGGCGAAAAGGTGTTGATCTCTTTCCAAAATCGTTTTTTTGGACGTCGAAACAAACTTTCGCCATATATTTGCAATGTTTGCCCAGTGGCACCTCATTCATTTTGATTTACTGTTCCTAGTGTTAGCATTTGGTGTTTGAATCTCTAAGCCTTAAATTTGCAATAATGTTTTCTTTAAATTTTAAGTTTGCACTAATGGACGAAGAAAGGTATTATAGAATATTATGCAATCAATTTAATTTAAGCGTAAATCTGACATCCGGTTCGCTGAGTAATAACACATGCTGAATTAAGGAAAACTTTATTCCTCCCTAACCGACTAACATGAACTGAGAGATCATTTTCGTGGCAGGCTTAACGCAAATAAAGGTTTTGCTTTACAACCCGCGCTATAATTTACCTCTTCCTTGACGGATTAACTGACTGAGTCGGATAAAGACATTTATTTTAGTTCTTTAATTAGTGTAAATGCACATTTGTTTGTTCTAAGCACAAATACATTTTTTTAATTAATGAACTCTTTCATGAGAAACTTGAACTGTGACGGTTACAACTGGCTCTACTGACTCAACATGAGATGTGGAAACGAGAAAAGACTTTTCACTGTTGTAAAGTAACAGATTTACTCTTAACAACTACAGCCTTGGAAAGGATTGAAAAATAAAAGAAATCAAACGCTATTGTTTGTACACAGTGCTTTGTCCGACATATGCAAATGTACAACTGTTTTAAATGCCTTCTCGGCCTCAAACGTGGAATCGCTGTTGCAATGAAATTAGTCGATTGTGCCACCTGCCATGAACATTTACCCTTAAAAGCAATTCTGTTTCAGAAGTCGCATATTTTGAATGGAAAAGGAACGTGGGGTGAACTCGCCGCTTTCGTTGTAATCGAAGTGTAAAAGCGACGTAGCGACAGTTGATATTTGGATCAATCTTTCACCCAGCCATTGGCTTCCGCCCGTGGAAGGTGACGTCGAGACGTGTCACTTAAAGTACCTTTCTACCCAAATCTCACGCCGAGTGAGCACTGACTTTCCCGCGTACTCTCTCGCGTACCATGGCGAAACACAACGAAGAAAAAGCCACCTATTTGCAAAAGTTCACCATTGCGGTGTTTGGAGACTCCGGAGTCGGTAAAACATCTGTTATCAGTCGACTTGTGGGAACAGCGTTCAATCTCGAACATCTACCCACTGTTGAAGATTTTCACGTCAAGCATTTAGCTTACAAGAACAAAACCTGTGAACTTCAGATCATCGACACCTCAGGAACGTATGAATTCCCAGCCATGAGACGCGTTGACATGGAAAAAGCAGACTCCATTGTCTTGGTTTATTCTATGGACCGACCAGAATCATTTACAAAGATCGAACGCTACATGGACGAAATTAAGGAGAGTAACAACGCCACGCAGAGTGACAAACCTGTTGTGGTGATTTCAAACAAATCCGACCTCTCCCACTTGTCGCCACCAAAGTTTGTGGACAAACGAGGTTTAAATATTAGCGTAGGGATGTATTTAGAGGGCAAATATGGTTGCCATTGGTTCGACTGTTCAGCCAAGCTGAACGAAAACGTTGAGGACATATTTCAGAAAGTGTTGGAATACTTATTCGACAACGGGAGTACTAAGAGCAAAAATGGTCGTGCACGACCTCCTATTAGAAAGATCAGTTCACTTATTCACCAAAAAATCAAAATATCTCGATAATGCATTTACTAGTTCATAAATCCTTCACAACATTAGACATGCTTTATTTTGCTTATTCATTTTCTTTGAATTCATATTGGTCTGTTTACAATTGTTCAAAAGTGGTTTAATGCGACGTATATTAATTTTTTAATCATCACCCGACATTGTACTCAGCCTTTAAAAGTATTTATATTGTTTTGAAATAATGAGATTTTATCCTATTTATTTTTCATCGCATAGCTAGTATTATTTGCATGGGGTTTCGAACAAGAGGATGTATTCTCTGGTTTCGAACTGAGATATTAATTAGTGATTCGCAATTGGAACGTGATTAAACGCCCCAAAATGTATTTTTTATTTGGTGGAAAGAAGCAGGTGCTAACAATTTACTTACATAAAATATATGTAAAGCACGTATAGAAATTCTAGAAAATATTCATAATTGACATTTCAACCGTTCAATATAAGGATTCCTGTCTTTTTCGCCGGATCAATTGATCCTGAGTTGTTGTAAATACAATTGAAAATGAATATTTTATGTAAGTAGGAATTAGAAGAAATCTCTCCTTTCTTTTTCAATTTTTGATTTAATAAGAAATTAAATGTTTTGTTACTCGACAACAACTTTTATTTTTTTTGGCGCGTCAAATATAATTGGAACTAACAGCTGGATGGTATTGGATTTTTATAAAAGTTGATTTTCATACCAAAAACAACATTATTTAGCCAAGGCAAGAGAATATATATTCTCTTGGTCAAGGTTATGAAGAAGGAATTCGACATCCATTGGTTGATTTAGACACCGAGAAAACTGCTTTAGAGTCACGCTCTATCAATTAATCATTTTGCCCCAAGCATGCTTAGTCTGAGCTTATTTTTGTGGTCATAAATGAAAGATATTTCAAAAGAATGGTTTTAAGGGACGGATCATAATTCATAAGCTGTCGGAAACGCGTCGTTAGCAACTTTTCATGACGCTTTTATTGTTAAGCGCGGCGGTAAATAAAAGAAGAGCCAAAGAAAATTGATTATCAATGAGGTGTGCGAGAATTTTCAGTTCACCCCTCCCTTGTTTGTGAGAGAGCAGAAACCAGTTATTTATGGCGAGATTAATACGGAAAGAACGCAACGCATCGTCTCGTTAAGAGTATTTGAAACTAAACATCTCATAAGGGGGATAATACGAAGAACACCACAGAGCCCTAGAGGGGGATCAAGTAAATTTCATCGTGACGCAACCAAAGTACATGCTTTCATTCTCCCTAACAACCACACGATCCACAAAATTGAATCGCTTACGTTTGATTGACGTTTGACTGCTGGTTTTGGTTCGAGACTACCTCGCTCAGGAAGTACGCCGATGCTAAGCCCGTGGGCCCAACTTCCACTTTCTGAGTTAAGGTTACACTTGCGAACGGATATGGAGAGCTGGTGTTGGTAATCAAACCATGAAGAACCTTTTTAAGTCAGTAAGTATACCTCTGCTAATATTCAGACATAAGTTTACTAAGATACAGAGAGCACAAAGAGAAATGAGCCGTCAATTATTTCAGTCATCGTACATCTACATTTAAAAGTTACCTTTCAACAGATTGATTGCTTATTGATCCTTCCAAAGTGTCACTGATTGTGAACTAGAATAGGTAGCACGGGATCCAAATAAAAACAAATCGGCTTCTCAAGATCCCAGTAATGAGCTCCGGGCTTGTAAGGGTTATATACTCAAAGCAGGCAGTTTTTGCAGTCTCAGCACCCCAAAATATCTTGTATTAGTATATACCACACAAGTGAGTAGTGCCTTCTGCTCTAATTTTTTTAACTGGGAACATGGAATTCAGTGGAACATCGCCATTTATTGTATCGATACCAATTACAAGTCAAATTTGGCGGTAGTTGAGTCGATCATACTGTTGTTATGAAAAGTCATCTTTTCACATTCGTCCTTCCTGAAAGTTCCTCATGCAGGTTCTGCACTTCGCAATTCGTGATTTTGAAAGTTTATTTCACACCGTTGATCCTTATTTAAGGCCCAACAACTAAAGTGTGCTCATCATACTTGAAAATTGACCCTGCTATATTAAACACGCAAAAGGAGAATAGAGAAAAGTATAATTTTTTTTTGTACCAGAATAGTGTGCCACTTCAATCTGAATTTGCAGTAATTGTCATATTTTGTTTCCCTAAGCTCGCGAAACTTTATTGCTTTCTCATTTCCGGCATTTCATACTTTGCTGAAATCGTGCAGTGAAATCTCCATGTTCACTTGTAGCGATGCCATTTCATTATTTCAACATTACAGCAGCAAAGAAGTCGTTTCCCTGTTACTAAAAAACTTGTCAAGTCTCGTGTAAGCCGTCCTCGTTTGTCGCAGTATTGCCAACTCACCTCGCACCTTTGTCATTTTTGCAGATAATGCTTCGATATCTTTTGCGGCATTCCACATTTTCTGTTTGAGAGCAAAAATATCATCCAAAACATCCATAAACATTTCTTCTTCGACTTCTTCTTTTGATTTAAAAACAGGGGCTCCTTTTTGCAACTTGGGCTCAAAAGATATTTTGCTTTCCGCTGATGGAAGCTGTAAACTGTGGTTATCCTGGGGCATTTCAGGTTTACACTTATGAGCAATTACAGATGAATCTCCTTGGTCTAAGGGCAACTCTATCTCAGGAATGTCAACTAGAGAGTTCTCTTTGCCAAACGAACCCTTACTAAGGCTTCGAGAACCTTTTTGAAACAAAATTCTGCGCAAACTTTGTGAATATCTTCTGTCTTGTGAATCGTAAGACTCAGTCTGACGAGAGATATCATCGGGTTCTAGCCTTTTTCGCAATTCTTCGCACAGGTCTTCGAACGTAAATTGTCTGAGAAGAACGCGAAGCGAGCCGCATTCTTCTTTGTTCAGAGGTCCTTCCTCAAGCTGCTCATTATCAAAAACCTTCACCAAATCTCTCACAGAACCACGTCTCTTCTTTCGGTCTTCTACTTCAAACGAGATAAGACGAAATTTAACTTCTTGAATAAGCAATTTATTGTCAACAGAAGAAAGTAAGTTCTGTTGGGAAACATGTTCTAGCTTCGAATCTAGACTTAACCCGCGGCTACGTCTTTGGTAATCTCCAGCTCGTCCTGGTAGACCCATGATCTCTTGTGTCGCTGTTAACTGCACTATCAGCGAGGACGCCCGCCTTCTCTCTACAGATTGGCTCATATTCAGCAAAAGAAAAACTGGAAAAATGAATTGAGATTCTCTTCAAGAAGACCTCCTTGAAATCGCAAGAATGAAAGATGTCCAAATTGATTGTTTCTCGCTAATTTTACGGGAAATCAGCTGTAAGTGGCTTCACAGTTTTCAGCTTTGCGGTAATTGATAACGTAGTAATTTACAAGTGATTTTAGGTTTTCCATCACCCGGATTACGTTAATTGCTCCACGGCAGGGGGGCTGAATACTAAAATTTGCACAGTTTCATTGGTATCTTACAGAGTGAGAGAAGACCGACTACAATGGCTCCAGACACAACATAAATTTCTTTGATTGAAAGCTAAAAATTGTCGTCCTCTGAGAGACTTTCTATATCTGTTACTCTCTGTTTTAGAGATAGTTTCTAGAATTCCCTTTCAAACTGTCTTCCTTGCCTCTCCTCCACTGTACTGAATTAAGCTCGCCCTTTTCCCCCCGTTCCACGAAAAATAAAGACGTAACCAACAAGATGTGACGACGGTCTGTCTGCTTGATTTTTTGTTTCCTCATTAGAGTTTAATCCTATTAACTAAAACAAAGTGCTCTTTTGAAAAGCTTAACTAAATTACATATTTTCAAACACAAAACGTATTGTTTTCTAATCTCAGTTTCTCATTGACAACTGTAGTGTCAGCACGGGAACGTGATAAAACAAGAGACAGCTAAAATGCAGTAGACAAAGCGCTCAGTAACTGCGAAGGTAAATTGGAAAATAATAAAATCGTTTCGTTTCCAAAAAATATAAATTGTCCTTCCTTGCCCTCACGACAGGGAGAGTCATTGAAAACCTGGGTTTGGTCTTCTAAAACATTTAAACTGTCTTTCCTTACCTTCTCGATAGGGTAATTCATTTGAAAAACATTGTTAATAATTGATATGGTCCTGCCAAAAACCTATATGTTTTCAAATATCAAACTTTACTAACAAATTAGGTAATTGATAAATGTAAATTGTCACTCTCCTCGTTTGAAGTTGGTGAAGACGATTTCATCGTAAATAAAAATTGCTTGTCGTCATTTTGAAGTAAAAAAGTGCCCTTGCAAGCCCCTCTTTTGTACAATATAGTAATGAGCCTTTCTTACGGTGATATAATTATCTATCTGTCTAATTTGAAATTGACTCGTGGAACGTAAAACTCCGAAGGACGAAGATCATTTTCACTGGTTCTAGTACTCAACTGATTATGACTCATCCCACGAACTATGCCGTGAACATATATTCTGTTGTCGTATTTAATTTCCCTTGAAGTTGTCGAGCTTTCTTTTAAGTTTAAGCTAATGATCTTTCGCTAATTAGCTTAGTCTTTCAGCCTGTTCGAGAACTTTGCAGTTTTAATTGAGCCATAAAGCTCACAAAGAAAGTCTTCTCGAAATCTCCATGAGTGTTCATCGTAGGCTTTTCAGAAGCGGCCATCGTTTATTTTGTTGTCATATGTTGCGTTTACTGCTGTAACGGTGTGCCTGCCACCTTGAGTAATGCACCTACTTCCCAACAGATACCTTACAGTGGAAAAAAAATGGCGTCGGGAAGAGGTCTCGCAAATAGGCTACCTGTCCGCCATGCCATGTAGCAGCGGTTATATTGCACTCAATCATACTCCGGATCCACGTAGTAAGCAATTAGACGTAAAATTCAGTTCCGTCTGGATACTGTTCTGCTGGCTCTTCCCGCTTAGGTCTTCGCTTTTTATCCATGAAGATGTCCCGAAGTTCTTCAAGTAATGCGCTTTGCTTCTTTATAGATGAAGTTATTTCTCTCAACCTAGCAAAACATATAATGAGTGCAAAGGTAACTTCATGACTTCGGGTGCATGCAATCGCTTTTTGGGCAGAATTTTACACAACGGCCGTCTGCCTTAATATCCGTCTATCTTAATATGAGTTCTTCCGATGCGTAAGAGTTTTCATAAGCCAACTTACTGTTCATCATGTCGTTCAATAGTCTCTCTGAGATCTTCCGCAATTTCTTGTTTCTCATCGTTCTCTTGGCGAGGAGACAAAAGTTTTACGAGTATGTCCACAATCTGAAAGTCCAAAAGAGGAAAACTAGAGAATTAACTATAAGCTATTTACATCCAAACATCAGTATACATATTCTCCACACTTTTATCTGCACATTTTCTTTAGTATTAGCAAGGAGAGTTTTTCAAACAATCAAGAGCTTCTTTCGTTGGTGATCATTTCCCTTATTCTGATGACCTTAATGTTTGACTCAGAGGTGATACTGCAAGGAGAAATGAGATGCTCATCACTGTTATGGATTAAAGGTTTGAGATGAACAAGAATTTTAACTTTAATAACTCGTGTCTACTGAAAGATGAACAGAATACGCAATAATACGCGAGGTCAAACCTTGGTCTTGAAATTCTTTGGTTTGTTGGGATATTCTACATATTCAGTGACCAGGACACTATTGAGGATGAAGGTTGGTATGGCGCGCTCTAGTTGAGACAGGTGCTCCACCTAAATATCAGTATAGAAAGAAAACGGTATCGTTATAAGCATACGCATGTACTTGTCAACCAAAGGTTTCGAATATTAAATGTTTACCATGGAATGTCCTGAGAGTCACTTGTAATTCAGCTGATTCAATTTCGGTAGGAATTCAGTCGCAGGAATAATATTTTTTTCATTACATTGTATCAAATAACGACTGGTTCTTCACAAAAGTGATAACAAATCCTCTGAATCCGACAGACCTGACTCGTGTATCTCTCCAGTGCAGCTGTCTTTCGAATAGTGTCAATATCTCCAACAGCCAAACCGATCTGAAATCAAGAAGGGGGTAAGCTTTTAGAGAACTGTGGTCAGGCTACGTCGGTGGGAGAGTACAACAGGGTGATTTGGTATCATCAACTGAGTTGATAACGAAAATTGGCCACCATAAAGTGTTTTAAAGTTTCGAATGTTGGCCTTGATCAGAGTGAATGACTCTGACAAAGAAACTCTTTTACGGAGGCCGATTTAAGTCATCAGCTCAGTTGACGATATCAAATTACCCGATCTGATATTAGATTGAAAATTTCTTTTTAATGTCACGATTTATTGTATCATCAGTCATTTGCTTATAGCTTGTTTTATGGCAAAAATAAAGATATGCCACCGTATTCAAAATTAGCCAGGGACCTGTTCCTCGCAACAGTTAATCGGAGTTAGTCATACTCACATTGCACAATACCAACAAGGAAATATCTTTCATCACTCACCAGTAAGTTCAGGAATATTATCGGCATCATGAAGCAGTATGCAATATACAACACATACAGCACCAAGCCATTGCCTACACCGCTGTCCTCGCTATCGTAATTCAGAAGGATGTTGTCATATTGCAAATTATCCAGCATCATAAAGAATGTAGCAGCGAATGAGGAAGAAATGTTGTGAAAGCGACGATTTCCTGCGTCGCTCTAAAAGAGAACCATAAGCAAAAGTGAACATTTAAAAAGTGAATAAGGATGCGTCCCTCATTGCTAATAATTAGGACAGGGGGTACGTTTCCAAGGAAACTGTGGTGATGTGTCGGTGGGGAGTATTAGAAGATAATTTGGTTTTATCAACTGAGTTGATAATGTAAATTGGCCTCAGTAAAGAGTTTCGAAAGCTAACGTTTTGAGCGGTAGCCCTTCGTCAGGGATGCATTCGCCCTGACGCTCAGAACGTCAGCTTTTGGAAGCTCTTTACTGTGGCCAATCTACGTTGTCAACTCAACTGATAAAACCTAATTATTCTGCTAATAATGAAGGCCTGCTCGTAAGTAAGGGTTCAAAATTTATAGGGATGAAACTATCATGTGAACAAAGATCATGATGAGGATGATAAAATTATCCTTTGTTCAAATACATTATAAGACATTAACTTAACTGCGCTCGAGCTTAGTTACGAGCATGGTTTAAACCAGCTAGGGGTGGAATACACGTAAAATTTTAACCGCCCAACAATTTTTTATCGTTAATTTTAGGGAAGTAAAGATTCTTCCTTATCGTTTACTTAACTGACCTCGTCTTTTGGAACCACGACGTAGAGAGAAAATGCAAACGCAGCCAGAAGAATAAGAAGAATAACCATAACCTACAAGAAAAGCAAGTAAACGTTTCAGTAAGCAAGGACGGGAAAACATTAATTTTGACCAACATTTTCCCGGTCCCAACCTTACTTAGTCGATAACCATTTTAATAAAGACCGCCCCTCTTTCTCTTTCTTGCAATGTAGAAACAGCAGACGAGAGAAATCGCTTCGTAGAGTGTCCATTCCTAAATTCCCATTATCATTATCATTATCATTATTATCATCGTTATCATTATGAAGACTCACTTTGGAAACTGTTTTTATTGTCTTCGTGATCATCACGATATACAATCCAACGTAATTGAATCTGAAACAGAGACGTACAGTGGTCGGGTAAGATAAAAAAACAACAGGAACCACTTTGGAAATACAACCGGCTGTTTAGGCAACGAAATACAAAAAGGTAAAAACTCATGATAAGGAAAAGAAACGTAATCACCTGAAACAAAGGATGTTTTTCCTTTGACGACACGTGTTTCCCTTTGTACAATTTAAGTTTGAAAAAGAACGTCAAAAGTGATTTCATTTGGGATTGCAGTTATTTTGCTTTACCCCTCTCTCTGAACGGTTCAGAAAACTCGAGCCACTCTCTCAGTCGATCAGATGCAGAATTAAACCAATAGCGTCCTGTTCATTTGCTGTTTTTTTTTTTTTTTGCTTTTGAAGCCTGTCACATGATCGTGACTTCAATGGCTTCCTTTTGCCTTGAAGCTTTGATCTGACTGGGAGATTTGACTAGATTTGATTTTCCGATATTAAGTCAAAAGTATCATCATCAGCTAAGAGACGTTCAGTCTATTTAAGAAATTATAAAAAAATATCTTACTTGCTAATATACTGTAGTAAGACAATCCACACCAGAAAAACACAGATTCCCATTTCAGAGATATCCTCGGAACGTGGTCTGACAAGCGTGACTAACGTCAGGACATACAGGGTCACCTCAAGCCAGTTGTTAAGCGTAAACAAATACTTTACACCCTTATGAGGAAAAAAAGATTGTGGACGATTGATCTCTGACGTTCTCATTTTATTAAAGAAAGGAAGGGGGGCATTGAGAAATATTTTAGGGGGGGGGGGATTTGAGATCGTTCGTAACTTTTTCGTAGTTGGTGTGTGCGTTTTAATCTGGTGACGTCAATAGTTTCAAAGCAAAATAACTTACTTCATCAAACATCTGAAAAAGTTCTTTAGCCAAATTGTATCCACACGCTATTATGAGGAACACTGACACACTGGCATGAATCCAGCTGTCTTTAAAACACAGCGCTATCAATGGGTCGGTTCCCTGTTAATGAAATGAATGTTGTAAAGATAATATTAATCACAAATACAAGTCACCCTAGAGCTAAAGATGTCACTGTTTGAATTTTACCTTTAACTGATTTGATTTTAAGGGAAACAAAAGAAGATATGACTAGGGTTGTATGTATTCGCCTTAAACAAAGTAATACCAAGACTTTGCGATGCCCATACATGAACTACGAAAGCCCCTGTTGGCCACTGTGTGGACCCTCAATAGCTTTGCCTGAAAGCTGAGCTCAGTTAAGATTTTCGCCCCATGTTAACTGTAAAGAACGGTCCGCTGGAAGTCTTCAAAAAGCTTCTTTCACTATTATGTGATATCGCTTGCTCCAACCACATAAACGAGACAAAGCACCTTCTACCTCATTGGGTAACTGGAGGTTTCACCCAATTGCAAGTTCGCCTCCGACCACCTTTGTGAGTTCGCCCCTTGTATAAACCGAGTTCGCCCCACCTTTGCAGGTTTCAACGATCCATTAGAATTGTGCAATAGTCAATTTCCACTCTCCAGATTATACGAATTTACAATGATCAGCCGAAGTTTATTTCCCGCCAATCATTGAGATAAACAAATGTAACTTCAAAATAATTACCGATGTATGTTTTGCATCAACTTGTTTTTTCATCATTATCATCAACAGCAACACAAACAAAATGTAAACAATCTGGTTCAGTAATGCGCAGACCAAGCCAAATTTTCGCCTGTGGTATGAAAATACAACAATTTTTAATACTAACGAGAGCCACTCACTGTGGAGCAGACACTGAGAAACTTAGGTGAAAAGTTCCACTAATTCTGTTGAAAGGTACAACCGAAAAAGTATGCTGTTAATGCACTGTGTTGTGGTGGCATTTTAAGTTAGATTAATAGACTGAGTAATATAGACAGAGATGAAATATACGAATTCGTTCAATCCTTAATCAACGAATCATTACCATTTGATGTCCATAAGCACTGAACATAGAGTATGTGTGAGACACTGGAGTCGTTGATATTTTACCATCGTCTGAAGAAGGAAAAGAGAGATTTAGCACGTATTTGAGTCGTCTCGAAGTATTTCGATCAAAACCCAAAGCAAATAAACACTTCCTTCTTCCCAAAACGTCTGAGTTCAAAAAGAAACCTTGTAGCATATCTTTACAGAGCTCTGGAAGGACTTAAACAAAACCACCCATCCCATTCTTAGCAATCTTAGAGACAGAGTTGAATTTTCCGCAGGCCAATTTTTCATGGGAAGGATATAACCAAACTGTGTTCAGACATGATGATAAATGATGATACTTACATGGAGAGCACTAAGAGATTCCTTAGCGTTCTTTTCTTTTCTTTTTTCATCGGGCATTCCTTGAATAAACCGAAGATCGTACGAGACCTAATAAACAATGAGAGTTTAAAACAGACAATGGATTGAAGTAATGTTATATTTTTCATTGAAAAACAAGCATTGCATGTAACATTAGAGCGCATTTCGATTGAAAGTTAAAAAAAAACATAAGCCAAAGTTGGGACAAAAAAAGAGGTCTCAATGGGGCGATGGCTTTTCCGGCTCACGGTTAAAATTTTGGTCATTTTACGACTAAAGGTCAACATCATTCCAATGTTATCACCAGAAAAATTTCTTTACGGTTAATTTTTTTTACGAATAACGGTTAAAATTTGTAAATTTTTACGCCTAACGGTTAAGAGATCATCGAGAACAGGGTTAAATATCACAGGGTCCGAAAGAGAACTCGAATCAAAAACAAGCGAGTGGAAAACCGCGAGCGAAGAAGTCGTGGTTAGTTTCAATTTTCCTTCTGATTGGTCGAGAGCTCGAGGGTAGAGCGAGTTTTTTTATAAAACAATCCCTGAACGAAGTTTGAAAGCGAAACTGAAGCAATCTCCGATTACTTTCGATACGCCATTGAAAATTGCTCTGATCTAAAAGTCATTTCACTATTTTAAGGGCTTTTAAAGACTTAAATAGCCAAGAATTATGCAAAAAATCTGTCTTTTACCTTATAATTTTCGTCCTCTGGATCGCCCTCCTCCACAATACAGCGATCGAGAAATTTCTGCATAGAAATACCAATAAATCAAGACTCATGCTATGAACACACAGTAATTGGTCTGGAAACCAAACCTGAAGGTGTTGATATCATCCTTAATAAAGATGGCAGAGGCAATTTTCAAGATATGAGTTGGAAACTGAAAACAATCTCTTACTTTGATTTCCAGAAATACTCTCACCGTTCTTTTCTTATCTCCAGTTAAAAGCTTTAGGCCCAGCTTGTTTTGTTGCATAGTCAAATAAATATTGAAACACAAAATGCAAGTCATGCAAAATATGCCACATCTGTGTGACGTTCCAATCGGTTAGATAAAGGGTTATTTTTGGTGCCATCAAAAACTCTCTTCATTTGGCAGGAGACTGCAAAATTTAGGATTTGTAAGAGGGAAAACGCAGAAAGATTCACAAAACTGGGGGACTCTGTTTTGGTTAAGATTAGGACATTGGAAAGGATTGTAATATTACAGTTAAGAAATTTTAAAAGGAAAAAGGAGTGAGTACCTTTGCCACTTCAGGCATGTGTTGAACTAGAAGCTGTATCTGAGTATGTGAACCGTGTGTTGTACTTCTAAGCACTTCTTTCCACCTAGAAAAAGAACACGAAAATGAGGTCCTTGTTGGAAAACTTTCAGGTTAAATAAACCCCTTCGCCAAGACCAATCAGGCCTCTCAAAGAAGGAAAAGCCAAAATACTTGAGTCCAACACATGAAAGAAAATTCGTTTCGTTCATTTTTATTCAAAGTCATATAATCTCAGGAGACTTAAATGAAGCTTCAAATTCATATGCCCAATATAGTTTACTAACTCGCCATCACACATGTCATTTACATAGATATCGATGCTCATCGAGGTTGATTAAAAAAACTTTCTCCAGCCCTTTGGGCAATTCAGGTTTGCCAGCATTCTTATCAATTCTCGCGAATATTTGGAAGTAGAGCACTAAAATGCAGAGTACATGTAAATAAAGGGAAACCGTTGCTGTCAAATCAATTTCTAGTCATCACTTTTTGATTGCAATCCTTCCTAAAGACTTCTTTACAAACCTTACCTTCTATGTTCAACAATTCCCATGGCAACGGCTTCTTGCCTAGCTTCAATGGCAATATCCAAGATATTTTGGTTTCTCTCATTCACTGACACAAGTTGTTCTGATTTGGAAAGCAGGTATTTCAGGATTTCTGCGTGGCCACCTTTGGCTGCCATGTGAAGCGCTGTGTTCTAGACAAGAGAGAATGGTTCCCTTAGTTCATACACTTAATCTAAGCAATAGCAACCTAATTTTCGTTGAAATCAAAGTGATGAAGTAACTCCTTAATCATGGCAGTGTAGAGATAATTGTTCCACCCCTCCTCTAACTACACTCACTATCCAAACGTACACCTTAAGAACATACCTGGTTTTTGTCGGTAACATTCAGACTCTCAGGCTTACTCGCTAAGATGAGTTCAGCTGATCTTTTCGATCCTTGCAGAGCTGCATAGTGTAAGGGTGTTTGACCATGTACGTCACTGAAACAAAACAGTCAATGTTAGAAAGAGTTCTACCCTTTTTATGGGTCAAAGTTGTAATTACAATTTGAGTGAACGATATGAAAATACGAAGAAATGCCGTCAATCGATTGGAGCCCCGAATTTAAAGCCGTTCCCTCATAATTAAAAAATGATGACACTTCAAGTGTTTCGAAAACTTGACTTTATGCCGCCAAGGTAGTGGCATGATGGCGCACTCTGTTCTTTTACCTGTCAATTTTTGCCCCCCTTTTGAGGAAAAACTCAACCAGTTCGTCATGGCCTTGTTGTGCTGCCAGATGGAGTGGCGTTCTCTCATAAACGTCATTACCATTAACCGTCCGCTTTCCACGTCCTTCCATCAGCTTCTTAGCAACAGATGTGCAGCCGTACCTACATATATAATACAAAAAACCCTCTAACTACTCCAAGCAGATTTTGAGCCCTTTGAAATTCCATTTTTAGTTATGTTGATAACTAACGAAGAGAGCGTCAGTTATTTGGTTAGGAAAACACAGTCGTACCTAAATTTGCGACACAATCCAAAGTTGATTGGGTTGCCTCCTGATCTGGAGCCTTATTAATCTACGTACTAAACACCCTGAAAATACCTGATCAGATACATCATTGTTCGCAGAACTAGTTCGATTATTCTATGCTGCAACCCTGCCTGTAACATTCTTCGCATCTGCTTCAACGGCAGCGAAAAGACAACTTGCTTGACAAACGATCAGATAAACGATAAAAGAAAGATGTTAATTTTGAGCGAAGAAACTTTTTTGAAAGTGGGAAGTTAATTAAGA